TCTTCTGCTTCATGAAATGATTTGAATGCTCTTTGTTACTTCTTTTGCGCGCAGGAGAGACCACCTTCCCCTGACATCATAGAGGCAGCTTCAAAGGAGTATTGTCTTCTGCTTCATGAATTGATTTTCTGAATGCTCTTTATTGAATCTTTTGCGCGCAGGCGACACCACCTTCCACTGACATCATGGGGATAGCTTCACAGGAGTACTGTCTTCTGCTTCATGAATTGATTTTCTGAATGATCTTTATTGCTTCTTTTGTGCGTAGGCGACACCACCTTCCACTGACATCATAGGGGTAGCTTCGCAGGAGTATTGTCTTCTTCTGCATGAATTAACTTGAATGCTCTTCGTTGCTTCTTTTGTGTGAAGGAGCCACCACTTTTCACTCGGCTGGGCGACGATATTGGAGCTGGGCTTTGATGCTGTCAAAGATTGCTTGAAAGTGGTCTTGATTGTTTGAAAGGAGCCTTGATTGTTTGGAAGACTTTGTTTGAAGGAGGTGGCAAAAGACATGGTGGTCCCCAAGCCTGTGGAAGAGGAGAAATCTTCACACAAGGCTTCTATTTCTTCACAAAGTCTTTGTAGTGAACAGCACCATGTGTCAGGATTCCGATTCAGTTCGAGGCTGGTCCGGAGTGTCATCACAGCATCTTATTGTTGGAAGCTCTGCTGGCAGGACTGTATCAAAAAGGTGGCTAAGACAACGTGGCTTCGACCTGATCATCTTGATCCACGCTTGGAGGTCCTTCATTTGCTGCGCTCAGTCGTTTGTGATTTGGAATGGTTGCAATTTGTCAGGTCAGGGACAAAATATAGAAGTTGCGTGAGCGCCAGGACCTTCAGCGAGGGGACATTTCAATAGAGAATTCCATTGCCTGCTGCAACTCCACATAGACTCGATCCTTGGCGATGTTTCAAAATAAAGTTTTCAAACCAAAAAGCTCTTTGGGCGTATACCGGTACTGTGTTGCTCGAGCCCGCGTGGGACCACTTTTGTCATGGTGTCCCCACTCATCTACTCTGACCAGCAACCGCTGAGAAGATGGACGCGCAGCAACCTGTTTGGTGCCTGAGCGATGTTGAGGTGTCCAGCAGATCAGCCAGGAGTAGAGCTGGGCGCCAGTGATCTTGCAAGGCGTGGAAAAGCAAGTGGGGCACGGCGCGACTAACAGCAAATGGGTACATAGCTCAGTGGTTAGAGCGGCTGACTGCAGATCAGCAGGTCCCTGATTCAAATCCGGGTGTGCCCTCTGTGCTTTCGTTAAAATCTGCAAAGGTCTCCAGTTAACATAGACCCCAGGATGCCTTCTTCGGCCCATTGGCCAGCACACCAAGAACGCAGAAGGTATCATGGATGTCCTTGCGTATGACATAAAAGCCCTTTTGCAGAGCCTAGACCTGCAACAAGTTGTCAGGTTGGTTGCTGCATTGGGTTTAAAATGTTTAAAATTCAACAAGCACTTGAACGCACATGTGGTGTCAGTCCACTTTCAACTGAGGGCTGTGAGAAAGATCCGGAGAGGATGGAAACACGCAGCCAAGAATCTGGAGACAGAATGGCCAGAATCAGCCACTGGGAATTGGCCCCACATCGTGGGGATGGTGGCTGCCATGCAAGACCTACCAGAAGATGAGCCAGCAGAACTTGAGGCTTGCAGCAGCTCAGAAAACTTTGATTTTGTGGTTAGTTCTCAATCTTCTCACTATAGGCGATGGCAGCCGCTTGGAACCTCGATGAGCAGAAGAATTCGGATGAGAAAACAGAGCTTGACCTGTCTAGGCAGCTTGCCACAAAGCGTGTCTGCCTTGGCGCTTTCTTACGCCGGACTTTGTCATTCTTTCTGGGACCAAGGTCAGGAAGCGCTGAAATCTTTACAAGGAATGAGCGTGGTTTTGGATGATGAGGCGCATCAAAAAGCAGGTCTGTTTGTCCAGCTCGGTGTAATCACGTGTCAAACAGGATCCAAGTTCACCGCGCGCCTCGCAGCCTTCTCAGCCTTCTCATCACAAGGACTTGGTGATGTGATTTGTTTCTAGAGTTGTCTTATCAATTGTTTGGGTTCTTGCTGGTAATTGTCCTTTTCAGATTCAAATGAGAAAAGGCCCCCCCCAACTCCACTGTGACCCCTGCTGTGAGGACTTGGGGCGGCCTTTTCTCATGGTCAAGTTTGAAGGAAATATTGCAAGTCAACCCAAAAGGAAAATTTCTTGCAATGTACTTTCCATTTGCCTCTTAGTGCTGTCTTTTTGAATTTACCAGATACAATTTGACCAACTGTCTCTTTTCACCAGTATCCTTGCAGGAGACCGCCAAGCAAGGGCATAAGGCATAAGGCTGAAGTTGAAAAGGCTCTGTTTGCTTCACGTTCTTCATGCATATGGTCACCGCTCCATTCAATCGATTGTGTTGTGCGTTGCACATCTTGAGGAAGGGAGTTCCAAGTACGACATTGAGTTTCTGTGAGAAACAAAAAACATTCACATGTCCGGGCAGGTGTCGAAGTGGCAAAACAAAACCCCACCAGAAGATGGCGTTTGGAGTCCAGGAGAGTTTCTTTTTCAGCTCAACAGTGCCAGCTGTTTGTTCCTAGCAGGAGGGGGAGGAGGAGACACCAGCAAGAGCCCCTTGCTTGGAAGGTGGCGGCCACATGTGGGGCCGCAGCTGCTCCGACGGCTTGGGGCAAGCTTGCGCAACCTGTCATTTGTTGTAATTTTACTACAGCTCTTCTGTTCTCTACAAAGTCAGTTCAAACAAACAAAGCAGGACACTTTCTCATTCTGGCACATTGCATTTTTCTTGTTGAGACACAGGCAACAGAAGGGCCGCCCATATTCGCAGCAAAGGCCTGACCCTCACCACTCTCTGTCTATGCTGTAGTGCTTTGTTTGAAGGTGGAGTCCAGGAATGGGGCTGAAGCTGCTCAGATGGCTCAGGACAAGTTGGTCTGAGGCCTTCAATAGGTCACTTGTCACCACACTGGTGCTATGATAGGAGGCAGCCACCCTGCAGCAAAGGCCTAAACCGTGTTGTAGCGCTTTGTTTGTCTTTGAAGGCGACGGATTGTTACAGTTGTTTCAGTCAACAGACTTAATGCTAAGGCTGAAGCTGCTCGAACTGCTCAGGACAGGGCTTCTGTTGAGCGTCAAGGCTTGTTTAATTGGAGCTCCAAAGCACTTCTTCCAAGAAAGGCCTTCTTGTCAAGCCCCTTGTTCAAAAAACCACTGTTGCGAGAAATCAAGGATAAGCGAGAGGCAGTTACAAAGGAGGCTTGACCCCTGTCACTTTCTCTGGCGACTTTGTAGTTCAGAAAGAGTTTATCTTACCTTCACACGTGTCCAGGTTTCAGGCGCTCCAAGCCCGAAAAGCAGGAAAAGAAGGGCTCTTGATCGTGGATCCCTTCAACATTCAGAGGCCAAGTCATTTGCTCATTTCTCCAGATGGCCATGGAAAAAGGCGTGTGACTCAAAAGTGCCTGAGCCACCTTCGAAAAGGGGTGCTGTTCCAGCCACAGAGGACAGATAGACAGATAGATAGATAGATATATATTTATATTTATATTTACATATATATATATAGAGATAATGGATATACTACTGTAATGCTTTGTTCTTCCTGTCATGCAAAGTACATGTTTTGAGCAGGAGTTCCTATCATTTCCTTTGCTGCACCAACCACCTGAATATTTGCATGCTACTTCAGTGCTCTTTTTGCAAAATGTGTTCAATGCCGCTGAGGAAGTTGCAGAAGCAGTTCACAAGACACCTTCTGCGCCTGATCCTAAAGAACAGGGCCCTGCCAGTGAAAAAAGGGAGGGGGCCAGAGCTGCCACAAAGCCTTCTACTGACGCCTATTGCATCAAGCGCCACAAGAGAAAGATTTATCCCACGGCCACTGCTCCTCCGACCGCAAGAACAAGAAGTAGGTAGTTCAATTGGTGGCGTCAGTGATCCCCGATGCTGATCACAGAATGGACACTTTGGCAGCTGAGCTAACCACAGGCAACATCACTGAAGAGGATGCCATTCGGATTATGAACCACATCAAAGCCAAGAAGCAGACGGACAGCGATGAGAAAGATAAGGCTGAAGCTGAAGGCTAGCCACGTTGAATGGATGACACCAGAGCCATGTGGAGCCTGCAGTGCAAAAAGGAGTTTAACAGTCCATGTTTGATGTTGCTCGTTGGAACATTCAGACGTTCCAGCTCTTCTTCTTGCTTCTTGTGGTCTCACTCTGTTCAATTGCTATAAACATTTTTCAGCATTGATGTAAAGCCTATTGTTTGGCACCAGGTCCTGTCCCTGCGCTTCAAGGTCCAAGTGCCAATTTTTTGGTTTGCGTGTGAATGCTGTGCACCCAAGTTGTCAGTGCTGTTTCCTGTCACTGCGCCTCAAGGTGCCACGACCTGTCCAAGTGCCCTCTTTTGGACATTCTGTCCAATTGGTCAGTGCGCTTTGATTGCCTTTCATTGCGCTGAGCAAGTTGATGCTTGACTTTTCCAACGCTGCTGGATAAGGCAGTCTTTTGCATTCTAAGATCTTCACAAAATGCCCTTGCACACAAACTTCCAGGGTGGTTTGATGTAATCGTTTGTTCATGAGACACACACATACCACCCAATGAAAGGGCGCGAACAAAAGCAAGACTCTAAAGCGAAGCTTGGTATTTCACATTTCACTGTGAATCATTCCTCACATTGTTTCACATAGCCATGCCGATCCCAGAGTGCCTGGAATGGTGCTTGCGTCCCATGGATGATTTGCAGCTGCGTGACATATATGGGCACGCCAAAGGGAAACTACCACCATCTGTGCTTGAGCTGTGCGTCTATTGCTATGTGCTGATGTTTATGGAGCTGTGTTGGGGCATGCTGTCATGAGAAGTTGCTGGCGAGCTTCAAAGCTGGTTCCGAGAGGTTCCTTGGCTGTTCCTTGTTGCGGTGTTGCCATGCTTGCACATATGTAGGCACATGTGCTACACTGACGTTCGCACTTTTGAACGCAGCATTGTCCAACAAACACACACCACTTGTCAAGCAAATTAGTTGACACATGCCAAGTGTGGGGATTGTTTGATCAGTAACTTCATGCCCAACTGTTGGGGTTCTTCTTGGGCTTTTTGCTTTACAAATGGCTGCAGGCTGGCACCAAAACAGCCAGAAAAATGATGACTTAATGACAACACTCCACACCGAAGAGGCAAGGGACTACCATGACATTAGGAAAACCCAACGGGGAAACATGCATGCTCCTTTCCTGGGCCTTGAGATGACTCGAGACGTACCCATAACAATACAGGAAACACACAAGTTATGTTGCTGACTGCATGCTACAGATTGTTGAGTGGCAACCAATTGTTTTCAGCTGCCAAGACCCTTTTTCCAGACCGCATTGCAAAGTGACATGGCAAATCAAAGTTTTCGACAGTTTCAGGATGTTTCACAGATTGTTTGCGTTGGTTCATCTTTAACTATAGGACATGTTCACCAAACCTCCATCCTCCATCCACCAATTCCAGAAAATTTTCACCAGTCCAGCCCCATTTTGACCGCGCATTTTTCACGGACCCGAGGAGTGACGAGGCGGACTTTACACGGTACTTGCAAACGCACCTGGCCCGGGAACCAAGGCGCTGGAGCGACGGACTGATGCATCACATCACCTATCCATACCTATCCCAGACACTCCATGTATGGAATGTTTTCCTACATTGACCGCTGAAAAGACCCCAAGGTTGGTAATGAACTGTAATTACGGTATGTATATGAATATGCCATACATGAAGTGTTTGAGTATAGTTTTAATTTAGCACATTTGGGAGGGATTTTTTTGATCTTCTCTTCCCCACGACAAGCTGAGCAAGTCAAGTCGAAAGTTTGGCGAACCTGGCTTTCTCGGGGGACGCAACAGGCTCGGGAGTCCGTTATTCGGTTCCCGAGGCGATCGGAGCCGGCGCTCCGCTGGGATGTATTCACCGGTGTGGCGGTCTCTTGGGAACCCGGTGTTTGTTCGTGCCTTGCATGTGATCATGACCCTTCGAACTTGGCATTTACCATGATTCACTGATTTGAGTCCACGTACGCGTGGGGTTGGCCCCCATGTGGTCTGTGAAACCTGAGAAACAAAACCATACAAAACCTGGAACTGGATTGAGAATCCAAGTTACAAAAATTCAGGAATCCCTGCCGAGGAGTCACAAGTTCAAGCCAAGAAGGCCAGATTGGTATTTGCGAATTGGCCACATGTCCCACCTTCTTCGGTCCTTGCATGCTAGTCCTAGTACTCACATCCAAACTGATCTATGTCCGTCCGAAAAGTGTATTTATTCGATGCGACGCGGTGACCGTTTATGTTTTTTCCAGGGAATAATGAGAAGATCACAGGAGAAATACCCACCCAGGAAATTCAGCCATCAATCAAGGACCATCAACAGTGGCCAAGAGTGACCAACGGCAACCAAATAAACGTATCAACCAGCCGAACAAACAAGCCCATCAAGCCAGCAAATCCACCTTCAATCAGCATTGCGCATGAGCCTGAAAACATGCCAAGTGGCACAATTTAAGCCACACGCGCCCCTCTAGTGACTGCAGCGCCCGTGCTCAAGTCTCGTCGCGCAGCTCGCGCGGCCTCGAACGCCTCGATCTCTTTAGGTCACCTACGCGCAGAAGCAGAAGCTCTTGGAGCTTCTGAAGCATCGCATCGCCGCCCTGGAGGCACGTGCTCGGACACGAGGTTGTTCGGCTTGGGCTTGAGTCACAGCTTCGGGTTCATCGGTGTGGGTCGATTGCATGTTATGCCATGTTATGCCAATGTGTGTGCTGTCGACAGCCAAGACAAGGTGAAGTCTAGTTATATGTTCAATTCATTTTGCAGACCTATGATGGCTTTGGTTGCATAGTAGTTAAGCTGCACATTAGTTTCGTGTGTGTGTGTATGGTGCCATGATCCACAACCTGTGTCCCGACCAAGACTGAGCCGCCTCAGAAACCTCAGAGGAACCTTGAACAGAAGAAGCAAACTGCAGTTGACTGTATGTTTGAATGCCAAAGCACCAAGTTCTTGCAAACAGAGTTTCTTTTTTTTGTCAGAAAAAACGGTGTCTAACAGTGATTGTTTTCTTTTTTTGTATGCATCACACTTCTCACAAAAAGACACCACACTTCTCATGTCCAAGGCGCTCTCAGCCGCCCTTCACACTGCCTGCTGAATTCCCGCCAGCCCGATCCAGGAGATCGAGGGCAAAATGAGTCGCCTCGAGAAGATGACCAGCGAGGAGGAGCAACTCTTTGAAGCCGTGGGCGCTGAGGAGCCCGGATGAGAAGAGATGTTCTTCGACGGGTGAAGCTGTGCTAGGAGGGTTTCATATAATTAGGGGACAGGAGCATAAGGGGGGCTTGGTTGAGAAGGAAAACGCAGGGGATGACGGGTGTGTGTGCCGGTTGAAACTGAAGATGCGCCTCAAATGTGGACTCCGTTAGACTCCTTTGAGTTCGTGTCATGATCATCCGCTCTTCGATCGAATGATCGAACCCCCCCAAAAGCTTCACTCTGGCTTTCACCAGCTGCTTGGTCGTTTCGTCCCATCGGCCCCCCAAGGAGCTCCGGGAGAAGGTCAAGCAGACACGTAGCGAGTTGCAGAACATGGTTGACGCGAAGCGTCTCACCAGCGCCGAGAAGAGCGACTTCCTGGAGCCTCGGGAAACGGGAGACTTCCCTCTGGACCCAGCTGAATGGTTCGGAAAATCGTCCAGTCTACCGATTGGCTGGTCTCCCTGGTCTCCCGAAAAAAAGAAAAAAAAAACACACTCAAGATGTACCCTCCCTCCAAGAATCAACTGGGAAAATGGCTTGTTAAGTTAGTGGGATGTTTGTAGAGGAAAACAGTTGTCCAAGGGGCCACCTTCGATTTCTTTGTTGGATGGAGGGTAGTACCCCTCAGGGGTGTCGTGCTGGGTGTGATAGTTGTAAAGAGGGAGACCGCTTGGGCCGCGGGTAGACGGGTAAACTGATTGATTTTTCCTTCAAACCCAGGGGGTTCCCAGCTTTCTAATGCACACTCGTATGAGTCAGCGATTTCTTTGCATAAATGGTGTAGAACTGGTGAAGGCTGTTCTGGCAGCCGACAAGTTTGAGGTTTGACTTCAATGATTTCTATCATGTTCAGAGTATCAGATGTTCTACTACTGTATATTTACACTAACAGTTAACATGTTTTGATGTTTGTGATGTTTTTGGTTGCTCTTTTCTCTTGAGCGATTTTGTGCCATATCTCGGATGCTGTGGATGTTCCGCTTTCTTGGAACGGAGGTCTTCTCACGACCTTGCAGTCTTGTTGCTGTGAGATCGCTACGGTGAGATCTTCCTTCCTCAGGAACAGCTGGAGAGCAAGATTGCTCTCACAAAAGAAGAGCTCTCCAAGGCCGAGGCGCGTTTTTCACGTTTCGGCGGCTCTTTGTGCGCTTCTTTTCGGCGGTACTTTCCCGGTTTGTTTGGATGGCCAAGAGCAACGCATCTATTGTACAAGTGTTAGTTTGTGCCTAACATATATAAGTTTAAAACAACAACCACAACAACAACACCAACACCAACACCAGCAGCAACAGCAGCAACTGCAACAACACCAACAAAGCATCAAACCCTGAAACACTGTTGACATGCGTGCCTGTTGACATTCTTTTGACCCACTTGTTGGAAGGTCGGTCATGTTTCACGGAGTTTCACTTGCCAAGGGCCAGGGGGTCTATGATGTCCTTCACCTGACATCAGGATGGTTTTGGGTCATTGGATTCTTGGGATGTGAATGGGATTCCTATTCACGCTCGTTGTTTTTGCGTTCGTTCTTTTGGAGTTAGAACCGAACCTGTTGGCTAAGCTCGTCCAACAAACAAATGGGGTGGTTGGTTGCAAAGCAGGTGGTGGATTCATTGCATGTTAGGGTGATGATTAAAGAACTAATATATACCCACTGAGAGTCATGTTATGGAGCTCTGAAACCACCAACGGCTCTGAGTGTGTTGCGGGTGTTTGGGTGTCATGGAGCTTCAGTGATCTGCACCGAAGCTCGGGCCCTGTTGCCGTGAAGCCCTGCAACGGTTCTTCACAGATGGTAAGCCACAACTGGTCGACATCGCTTTTAAAGGTATTTGTTCATTTGAAAAGGGGTCAACCAGAGTGCGACCCACAGCCAGATGTCACCAACAAATGGGCTGGGCTGGGCTGGGGTAGTCCCAATCTCCACATGAAGTCGGGATTCGGACTCTGGGATCACCCGATTTCTTTCTGCGCTTGAAAGAACAGGCGGATGGCAAAAGTAAGAAGGCGCAGGCGCGTCAAGCGCCAAGCGCAAGCGCTGGGCTGGAGTCTAGCGCCAATGGGTGTCCATGAATGGATGACCACTCCTCGCCCATGTATGGGTCCTGGAGTTTATTGTTTGGGGTTTCTGCAGGACTATGAGTCCAATGGGCAGAGGCAAACAGAGTCTTGTACGAACATGACACATCCAGTGCTGTTTCGAGAGCTGGGACCCCGCGGACGTGACCAGAATCTGTGACGTCAGTCGATGTTTATTTCTCCATCGGCTGACTGGTGCCACTTGTAGGGAATGAGGGTGGCTGAGCCCCAATAGAGATTCCTTTGGATCCATTCTCTCATTCCCTACGAGTCGCACCAGTCAGTCGGACTGGGTGCAGTCTGACTTCGGAAGTTGGTTAGAACTGTTTATGAACTTTTTGCTTCAAGGCGACTTGCCCAGACTTGCCCCATGAAAAAACATGTACGACAAACAGTACCCAGACACTCCATGGGACTGCCATATATGCCTACATTGGGGTGGTTTTGGGGGTCAATGTAGGCATATATGGCATACATGGAGTGTCTGGGCCATTTTTCTAGTTTGCTGCTCAATGGAACGGGTGTGGCAGAAGCTTCGTCCAGGCTCTCAGCGAGCACTTGGAGGTCGGGATGCGCCTCGGGGTTGGACGCGCGTTTGGGGTCTTGCGAGGGCGGATTGTGGCCGGATGGAGGATTCTGTCGTGGTCATTTTTTCACATGTAGGTATTGGTTAGGGGAACAATGCATAGAACTCACTGGTGAGGGAGTCTTCCTATGTACGAGATACACCCATATCATATGGATCATTCTGTTCATAGATGTGTTCGACTGGGTAGTCAATTATATTCAATATATTCAATCTTATATGGTCATGATGCTGAGCCAACAAGGTCTTGTTCTTGGTGGGTGTTGGTGACTTCCAGGTGCTGAGGATTACACAAGAGACATCATAGGATTGGATTCAGATGGATTCAGGGCGCCCCCCTATTGAAAAGGTATAAGTTGGTCGCTCGGAACGCTCGGCCGTTCGCGAACGGCCGGTCTCCAGCCGTTCAGGTCATGCATTCCACGCGCAGCTCCATCAAGTCGGCCGAGCCCGTCGCCCCGGCCGCAGCGGTCGCGCGCGGCTTCGCGCGGAGCGCCGGAAACGGTCGGAGCGCGTTTCGCGAGCTCCCCAGGTCCGGTGGTGTGATCTTCGATTAAAGTGACCTGGACCAGGGGCCTGGTTTTGAATAGTATACAGGAGTCTAGCTTTTCATGAGGCCATGCCATTCGAGTGTTATAAGTTTGTGAGTTGGAGTGCAGTAGTCTGTTTGGTGCTACTATGTGCTACTCTGAATTTTTACGTTTTGAATATTTTTGAATAAGCAATGCCAGAATATCACAAACTGAGACTCGCTGTCCATCCTCTCCCGAGGCTCCTTTGCCGCCGCTGAAGCATGGGGAGCAGATCCGGAAGCTCCGGCTGAAGCTTGCAGAGCTTGCGCAGCTGGAAAAGGCGCCGATGCTGTTGCTGTTCTAGAGTCTAGTAGCGTGCTTGTTCCTAGTAGTACGGCCAGGAGCCCCGTTCGTAGCTTCTTGCTCCTAGTATCTATACTATAGGTTCCATTTATGTAAATTTGGAGTTCCAGACTGCGCAGATCTCGGGTAGATTCGCACAGATGTTTGAGTTTCAACGTGCGGCTTTTGAGTCTTTTGAGGGGCAACAGCCACAGCAGTTCCTTTCCTCCAGGTATTAGGGCCTCTTCGGGCCTCTCTTTCTCTTTTCGTCTCTCTTCTCATGCGACAGGACAAGCGAGGATGCTCGGGCCGCATGTGCGTTCCATGACGGGGCAAAAAGCAGGAGGAGAGGCACAGGGAGTGTGGATATTTGATTTTGGAACGATTGGCTTACTTGGACATGCTGGACACTCAAAACCGTTAAAGCCCTTGCGGTAGGCAGGTCTGGATTGAAACAATGTCCCTTTGGTCCTCATGTTCCAATTATAGACCCAAGTACCCACCATGTTGTCACCAGACCTTGTCAGACTAGTGACTAGGCTGGGTTTCTCTTAGCTATTAGTTTGAAGGCCATCGCTAGTAGGTTGAAGGCCATCGCTATTAGGTTGGCCATCGCTAATAGGTTGGAGGCCATAGGCCATTGCTATTAGATTTCTTTTGCTATTAGTCTTGAAGAAACACCAAGCAATCTCTGTGTAAAAGGTTTCAACGCTTCACATCTCCGCATCTACGTCAAAGGTTCAGAGATGTCTTGTAGCATCATGCAAGTCGCTTGCAGACACCAGATATGTGAGGTTCTTTGGATCACTATTCCTGTGAAGCATCAGCTGCTAGGGTCCAAGAAATGCCCATCCCGAGAACTCACGTATATTCCATGAATTACACCGTCTGTATTACTCCAGTCCAGTGCGTTTCGGTGTGTCCGGTGGCCCCCGTTCCGACGCGGATGGCATAGCCCCGACGTTCGGATGACCAGTTGCCATACTTGGAGTGTTTGTATCGAGTGATTTCCAGTGCCCCTTGCTGCCGCAGAACCGAGGAAACTATTCCCTCGATGAGCTGAAGAGGTCAGAGATCCGATTGGGTAGATGTCCAGCAGACATGGACGATGGATTTTTGGGGGTACCAAACCGAAGAACACTTTCTCAGTCGCGTGGTGACTTCCAAATGCATGTGGTTTCTTTGTCAGAAGAGACCAAAAACATCCAAGAACTATAAATCAATGTATAAAGACGCTAGTAGGAACAAGGTTCGCTACTAGTAACAAGTGCATCGCTACGTTCGTAACAAGTGCCTTACTAGCGTAACAAGTGCATCGCTTCTAGAAACAAGTGCCTTACTGCTATAAAGACTCGTCTTGCTCCTTCTCATGGCTTAACCGTTTGGACCTCGGGACCTCGGTCGGTTCTGTTGCTTCGGTCCCGCGGGTGATCCGGTTCGGTCGTCCGCCAACTCGAAGACAACACGTAGTATACTGTATAGGGAGTATAGGGTTATTATAAAGGTCGTATATATAGTACAAAACAACATGTGTCTTAAAGGTTTATAAACCAGGTTATATATATAGTACAAGAACATTTTTTAAAACCAGCACCACTTGGGATGGTTTTCTTTCGACCCCCCTGAAGATGTGTTTTTTTCCATCCAATAACCACCCAAACTGGGTGGTGCTTGTATATGTCATCTGTAGATTTCCTTGTTTTTGTTGTTACATCGTACCCAAAAGATATGTTGGCTCCTTTGCACGGAGCCAATGTTCCAGCTTCTTCAGTTCGTGACCTTTTAAGAGTCCTGTGTTTGTGAGCCGTTACAGGTCTGTTTGTGACCGGAGAACCCGGGGATGAAAAGCTCACTTTGATCAAATTACGCTGTGTTTCTTCCCAGGCAGTGGATCAGATCACTAAGGAGTACTTGAGAGTAGAATCCAGAATCCAAAAGACCGGCTTTAGTCCATGTGAATCGTGAATCCCCATATTCACACCATTTTTCACCATTACAACAAGAGCTGGGTGGTGGAAGTTCAACGTTTATGCTGCATGATCCTGCAAGCTGGGTACGTTAACAAAGATCTGTACCTGAAGCTTCCAAAGGATGGTCCAAGGTAGATCCAGACGTAGTTTTTGGGGCTTCCAGCCAGGTGACCCTTTTTGAAGGTGCTGGTGTTTGATTTGTGCTTTTGTTGTTGTTGAAGCCGTGTTTTTTTTGTTCTTCGTGTAAACTGGGCTTAAGTGTCGACCACTATGTGACCAGACTATCTTGACCAAGTCTTGGTTTTTGGACCAACTTTTTGATAGATCTTCATAGATGAACGGATATGATCGGAAGAAAAATGACACACCGCAGACTATTAGCAGACCTCTACAGACTCCGATCAGCCCCCTCGTCGCCCTCGCCCTCGCCCCTTCGAGGCTGGGCGAACGCCCGGAGCTTCAGGAGGCCGTCGAGGAACTCGAGCGCCGCGCGAAGGGTTGGCTCGAGAGCGACGAGGTGGGCGATGGCGTGTGCCGGCATGTAGCGAGCGGACGGACGGACGAGTCGTCATCGGACCTGACAGAGGTGGGTGATTGTATTCAACTAGACCTCCCAAAGACCACTGGAAGAAGGAACATAGACCAAATCCATCCAAATCCCATTGGTTGGGGGCGAGAGCCCTCTCCAAATACACCACGTTCAAAGAGGCATTCCGAATTGTGAAATCAGTTGGATTGGAATCTGCCCCCCTTGCTGGCCAGGACCATAGAGTTCATGCGGGGTACGTACCTTGTTTGTCATTGGCCATCAGAACAATGGCATTTACCACATGTGTTGAGAGGTGTGAGCAGGTGCGAGAAGCAAACATGTGCTGGCCCTACCTACGCGGTGTCAGTTTACAATGGCTGTCCATTACAATCACGTTCACCACCCGTCTTGTGGGTCTTGGCTTCATTTCAGGCCTTCCCGTTCGACCCCCTTTGAACGTAGACAAGTAATTATTCTTTGGGGCCAAAAATGGGGTCTCTCGATGCACAAAGGCATCCCATCACCATCCATCGTTCGCATCACCCACGTGCATGCTTTTCCTGTCACCCGAGTCTACGTTGTAGGGCTGTAGGGCTGAGGCGATTCCTTGGCACTGAATTTCTTTTTCAGCCATTTTTGTGGGATGGGAAGTGGATAAAATGGCTTTGACTCTGACTGAACTGGGAGTTTGGTTGCCAGTGTGATGTGTTTTTTTTTTTTCTGTCGTGCGCTTGCAAATTTTTGTCCATGTCATCGTTTGATTGAGCAATGTCTTGTCCGGGTCAATTATATGAGGTACAACATGCGAGTGGACTGGACCCTTTATTCCCGCGTTTGACAACTCTTGCGGTTTCATTCAGCTTATCTGCGGGTCTTGTTTGAAGCCTGTGGTACTGAAACAGTCACACCAGGAATTTTGCTGATCTTGGATGGTCTGTAATCCCGAGTACCTATTAATAAACACTCCCCAATTAAAAAAACACCACGTCCGAACCCCTAAATTCGGTTTATATTTGGTTTTAAATTGCCGCCCTTTCAAACCGCTACTAAGCTACCAACATGGTCGATTTTGGGGGTAGTTTTTTTTATTAGGTTCCCCAAAACTCCACCATGACACGCCGCGCTTACACCAGCAGGCTTTCCTTCCCTCAATGGCACGGACTCACGCAAACGCACTTGCCACCGAGGTCATGCAACACCGCATGGCACAGCGACATCACCTTTCGAAAGCTTTAGCTGTTAGTCTACTGAAGAATCACTATTCTAATGAAGGTTTTTGTAGGGGAAAAGGAAGACCCTTCGATCTGGCGGTTTTTTGCATTTTTGATACGAGTTTAATAAAGGATTTTATATAAAATTTTCCTGGATTACTTTTTGGTTTTGAAACTCTTTCCAAGTGACACTATTTTGGGCCCCCCGATTTCAGGGACCCCCTATTAGAAAAAATGCGACCGAGGTTTTTTTAAAAGGGGGGAGGGGGGGGGGGGCCCGTGTTTATTATTAGGAGGACGGGATTAGTCCAAAATACTGTATTGAATCGGGATAGGGTCCCAAGTAAGCTTCGCGATCACTGTTACGCTGCTGAATCAAAAAAGATTCACAAAGACCAACTGGCAGCACGGGACCTTGGCTGACAGTGGGAACAAAGTATCTCCTTGACTTTCACCTGCCAGAACATGCAAGAACTCTCCGGATCATATGAGAGATCATCCGAGAGATCATCCGGTCACTCCAGTCACCCACTGTCATTGACGAAGATAGCAAAACTCTGAGAGAATCACAGGTTGGTGGATCAATCCACCATAGATCCGTTCATTTGTTGTGGATCAACGTCACAACAGTGCTTCTTCCGGCCCCCCCTTGTAAAACCTGTCCAACGCCGATTCAGGGACCCGAATGGCCCTCAGTACTTTTCGGCGCTTGATGGATCGAATCATGTCGGACGCTCCAACCCGATCGGGTCTGGATTCGACCCCGGGCCCGACTCGACCCCTCCAGTCTTGTTTGGATTCGACGGACCTTTGGATGGGTTTTGGGCCCATGAGCGTTTGGGTTTTAATGATGGAGGTTTGTTGTAACTGGTTGTTTGTATGCTACATTCTCTTCTTCGTTTGTTGTATGTTATTGGTAGCATTTGCTATGTCCAAATTGGTTTGTTCTAACTCTTGAAGAGGGGATTCGCTCTTGCCCCGGCCGGTTTCGGTGTTGGATCACCCGCCGGAACGTTCCGGCGGAACGTTCCAGGTCTTTGAAGAACGTCTTCAAGCAGCAGACGCAGCAGATTAGTGTTTGGGTGGAGTGGTTCCAGTTGGGAACAATTGGCTCTCACATGCTCTCACAGTAACGACTCTCCGAAAGAAAGGCCCTCTTTCATCATATCCTTCCAAACTCTTGTTTCCATTCAAATATCTTATGATATTTTTGTACACAGAAATTGCAGGTGTGCAGTGGCTTAAACCCCCGCTTGTGATGCTTTTGGTTGACCAACAGATTGCGCTGCTGTAGCATTGTTCCCCACTCCCTGCCACCCCAACAATCAATGTCATCGGCCTAGAAACAACCGATCTGCTTTGTTATATTGGCTTTTGATATATTTGCGGATTCCCCACCCAGAACATTCGGCCCTATAAAGCCTCAGTTTGCAATTGTTTGAATCTGGATTTGGAGCTTCTGCATGCCCTCCAAAGCCATAGGCCAACCTACGCTTGGGCGGCAAAGCGAAAGCCGCGTGGGGCAAGCCCAGTCATGCTGCGGTGCGGAAGGTATATAACTGGTAGAGCGGACTGATTGGTATTGTTTCTTTTTGTTTTTTTTCTCATTTTCTGAATCCGATAAACTCGTTCCAGACGCTGATGTTTTTCCCGGAACAATTGTCAGATGCTTGCATGCAGATACCAGGTATCATGTGTCGTGTCGATTGCGGAGAATTGTCACATCAAGATGGTGTCCAGCAAGATCATTGACCAGTCGGGACAGGTTCTTTGTAGCCAAGATTAAGATGACTTCCAATTTTACAAAAGGTTCTGTTGGATGCATTAAAAGATATTTTTAGTATTTACTGTATACCGTATTAATACACAAGGAATCACATCTTGTTTCTTTGGAGACATTTAATCCAAGGATATTGTCCTTGTTGATTCCCACCATGGAACAAGAAGTGATCCATGAAAGATGCTAGAAATCCGATGACATCCATATATCAAAAGGATTCACTTCAAAATGAAGTCCCAGGAAAGTCGCCATACACACTCGAAAACCAGGGTGGACCCCGACCCCCCACACATGTTTGACCCAAGTTCCTCTACCAAACCTCATGCGTTTCCACCTCGTGTCACTCACACCTCCACACGGTCTACCACGGGTCACCGCCGTCCGCAGTCTTCGCTTCGGGTCCTCCGTCCGAGGCCCCGGGCGACGGGTGGCTACAGCACCGTGACGGGCGGGGCGAAGCCCGCCAAAGCCAAGGCCAAAGCGCCGGGAACGCGGAACGCCTTCGGCGCTCTTGGCTGAGGCTAATCCACCGACCCGGTGGAAGAGACGGAGGAAAGCGCCAAGGTAAAAAGAACTGGTTCATCAAGAGGTAAGAGGTTGGAATCTCTGCATTTTTGCTTTGCAGATGTTTTCATGGACTGGCCCAAGAGAAGACTCCATGAGCAAAGGACGTTCCGCCACTGGTTGTGATGGCCCTGCATGTGATGGGCCATGGGGCACTCCGACATCCACAGTTGAGCGGGAGGTGAGCCATAGAGAGACAATCGACATCACATGTCCCAAATCCCAAGCACGGCATGTATGCGATATTTGCCTACATTACGGGCATGTATGGCATACATGGAGTGTTTGGGATTTGTTGGGATGCAATCGACAATGTATACTTCCTTCACTGTGAACAGGACAACTTATTATATACATCTCATGTAGAGTGGTAGAGCATAGGTGGTGTGCAACGTGTACAAGGGGTCACGCCTAGTGACTTAGTGGGCTACTTCAGAACTACATGGACCACTTCATTCCCCATGAAAGAGGGGTCACCCTTAGTCACCCCTGTTCTTTTCACCTCCGTCTCTCCACTGCTTCTTCGTTGGACATGGCGGGCGATCCGGGGCAATCTCAGCGACTCAGCGCCGCGAGCGGCAGATGTACAGTTCAGCGGGGACCTGGTCAAAAAGGCTTTGTTCAACTCGACTTGGTAGTAATGGTTTCAGAGTAGATGGTATACAATGTCCAAGTTGGGTGCTTTAGATGGAAACTTCTAGAAAGTCTCAGTAAAAGCCCTGGCAAAGAGCGACACCTGCAACCTGATGAGGAGGGGATAGGAATCCATGAAGTGTCTTCGTTCCAACTTGGTGTTTCCACAACAAATCCGAGAAACCGACCAAACCCCACCAACGAATCATCCGAATGTAGACTCCTGATTAATTAATCAAACCCCCGATATTATATGATATAAAGATGGTTTGTTATCAAAATGAAGGGGTTACTACTCAGGAGAGTGACCAGCAGTCACAAAGGGGTGCTTAACGGAGGTTAGGGGTGGCCATTATCCACTCACTTGGGCACTCAACACCACCCCTTTGTGACTCCTGGTGCATAAATCCTACTGATACCATCCCAATATCCTCCCATGGCCAGTCCTGACGCTTCGTGCGTTCGCAACTTCCTTGGGAGGGACGTCCCATCCATGACAGTCCAGTTCAAAAGGTCTGGATCCAGGTCTCTGGCGCCTCGGGACCGGTGTTGTATGGTGTCGTGGAGTCGTATCGATTCTGGTTGAGAGTCAATGGCGCAGACCGCGCCGGGGGTCCATCTGGTGCCAGGAGGGTGCAGTAATGTACGTAGTGCTCAGCGACTAGGAGGGACTCTTCAATTCGTGAAATTGATCGCCACAGACTCCTAAACTGGATCATGCCAGAAATTTGTTATCATTCTGACCCAGACCATCCATGGGACTGCAATAGTACATTTACCCAATGAACATCGCCCATTCATGCAAGTAACTATTCCAGTTCCATGGATGGTCTGGGTTATGTCATTTTGGAATCCTGGCCGTGGTATTTGTTTTCCATGATGCTGCTGAACAGATGGCCGGTGAGGAAAGCTTTTACAAAGCACATGAAAGCAGACTTTCTTCTTTGTTTAATGTGGGTGTGGCTTCAAAGATGAATACAACCAAACATAAAGAACACACGTGTGGTGACCTGGGCTATATTCTGCATAGAATTTATACTGCTGATTTGGGTGTAACCTCACGGGTTCTAAGTTCTGATGATATTAAATCTTGCTTTTTCTGAACTGCAGTGTCCAAGAAGACCAGTCCCCAGTCCATCAAAAGATACTGTTCTTGAAGGGCCCATCTCTCAACCGGGTGATGTTCAAACCGCTGCAACCCACCGTTCAGACGCTGCAGGTGTGGCCAGCGAGCTGCGTTTGGAATACGCCGCTGCGAGCTGCGACCGAAAAGCCTCACAGCGACTGAGACGGGCCCTTCAGTGTTTCTTGTCCTTCCAAGTCCAGGGTGTCATCATGGTCGGAAAGGGCTTTATATATGGTTTACCCAGAAAGGCTTGTTATTTGGTTTGGGTTCGTAAAACTGTTTGTTTTCAGACTTCATAGCCGGATTGTCCCTTAATGCCTCTTTTGCTCTTTCCTCATTTGCAGCAAGCTCCTTCCCTGAGCAATCTGAAGTGAGACACGAAAGCCTTTCCTTGATCAGGAAGCACTTCCACCTTACTATGTTTAATGTGTTTCTTGTTCTTCCCTTGGCAGTAAGTGTGACTTGCAGTTTCGCATTGTCAATACTAACAACACAGGCGGAGCTTGGAGGCTTGGAGATGATACACAATATCCACTTTTTGACCAAGTGCTTCTTGGGGCATGTGAGCTAGATAAGACTTGTTTTTGGTAGATCTGTTACAGGAGCGTGGTTTCGCCTTCGCGTCAGAGCCATGAGCTTCGCACCCCGGTGTGGCTTCGCACATTCTCGCTGCGAAGCCACGTTTTCACTGTTCGCCGTGGTGCTTTACTTATCGCCATTGCTGCCATGTTTTGCCGGGCTGGGCTCGAAGTGTCCCTGGAAGGTTCAGAGTCTCCAGCTGCGTGGACATGTGGCCCTTTCCGCCTCGCGAAGAGATGTGCTGCTTGGGGGAGCCTTGTCACAGACTGAGCTTCAGAAAGTAAAACCGATTTGCGAAGTTCCCTTGCATCGATTGAAACCGGTCGATGGACAAGTGGGTGGGCAATTTGCCAGCATCAGCGCTGTGCTCGGAGGGGAATCAGTGGAACTGATGCTTGATACTGGTCTCTCGGAAGGGATGGTGACTCCTTCCTTGGCCAAGAAGCTGAAGCTCCAGCCCATCGGCAGTGCAGAAGGTGCCACCGCCGGAGGTGATGCCACTGTGCAGCTGGTGCAGCTAAAAGATTTGACCTTGGAATGTGGTGAGCTCTTGGAACCTGTTACGGCAGCCGTGGCCAGCTTTCCAGAGGAGAAAATCGACCAAAAATGGTCTTTGAATGGGATGCTTGGGTATCAAGCCCTTCAAAGTTATGATGCTGACATTGATTTCCCCAGAGGCAAGCTGCGTTTATGGCGGCCGGGTGAAGGTGCTGCTGTGGCTGCACAGGCAGGATTGGCCAATGTGGAGGCCGTGGTCTTACCCGACTTCGCCATCCTTGGAGTTCGTGTCATGCAGCCTGAGAGCCGTGCCGCTGCGGCGCTGGGCGTGATTGATACGGGTGCCGGCTTTTCGGCCATCACCCCCCTCTGCTGCAGTGGCGCTGAAGGCTCGTGCGGGAAAACAGGCAGTGACCATCGTTGGTGTGGATGGACGACCCTTACAAATGCCTTTGACTTCTGAAGTCACATTGCCTTTGGGAGGGAAGGAGTTGCCAGGGGGGTGGATGGGAAACAGCTGTGTCCTTGAAGACTACATCGGCTGCTCTTGGGGATTTGCCTGCATTGCAGATCTTCGCGAATGGCAAGCCTGCAGTCCTCCTGGGATTGGATGTACTCGGAAAACGTCGTCTCGTGTTCGCCGCGGGTAGTGGGCCGAAGCGCCAGTTGTTCATTGGTCCGGACGAAACTCGATGAGCCAGTTGTTCGCCGCTCAGATGCAGAGGAGAAATCCGTCCAGCGGAGTTGGCCTGTTGGGGACCGCAGGTCCTTTGATGATCCTTTGCCGCTGACATTTTACTGATCGCTCAACAACGTAGGAACATCGCTAGGACCATCTAATCTATGCGAACTACGAGTTCCACCCACAATCGAACATCATCTGATCCGAATTGAAGCAGGTCCAAACTCATTGCTTCGCAGCATTTGGACATGTTTGGCTCCAAATAAATCGGTGTGGATGGATTGCCCTTGAAATTATGCAGAAACATCAGAAACCGCTCAATACATCTCAATACTGAAGGAAGAAATCCTACCTGGAACAGAAACTCCGCTTTGCATCACTGTACTCAAGGAACAGTGTAGGTTCTGGGTCACGCGGGATGTGTTTCTTTTTCCCACTATAAGTAGGTGATGCACGGAGATTGTTTATTTTTTTTAAATGACAGCACGGTTAAACGGTAGATTGGATGCCATGAAGTCGGTCTCGAGTGGTGACCTGGTTCTGTGAGATGCTGATAGTGAAGGTTTTTGTTCAAGAGTGAGGTTCTGGTATCGAATTTTCGAATGCTCTCACTGAGGGAGGGAATTTTGTAGATGTTTCATGATTTTGCATCCATGGGAGGTTTTTTCAGCGAGGATTTCCTGCCATGTCCTTTGTAAGCCACAGACGGAGAACGTTTGTGAGAAGCCCTCCACTTGTGACTCCGGCCCGCTCCGCCGCCGATCAGCATGAGACACCAGAATTGCATGGACGATGACCAACTGAAGGGTATTTGTTAGTATAGAATAGTATAGACTTAATGACTACCTGCAATTAGCCTGTTAATACTGTTATATAGATAAATCACTCATACTTGTTGCATGTGTTTGCAGATGACCCCTGCTTTGCAGCTACTGGCCTTTGCAGCTATTGGCCTAGCAGAAATCTGTGTGTCAAGATGGACACCCATGAGAAATAGCCTTGATGTCACAACAGCATGAGAAATCCTCAGGCCATCTCGGCCGAAACTTGTGCAGAACAAAATAAACAACAAAACCGTGCCACCTAATTAGACCTAGACAGTCAAAGTATATCAAAGCCACCCTTGGGCGTTCAAACATCAAACGGTTCTTGCAAAACCTTCCAAGAATTCTTGTGGTGACCTGAGTCCCATGTGGCTCCACAGTCCCAAGCAGCGATTCTTCTCCGCCAAGCAGCGGCACCTTCACGTCCCATTCCGCCACTGCCTCGCGGGGGCGACTGACGCGCGGCTCCCGCATGTGGTGCAGAACAAAATGAGTGACGAGACCAGCAAGGCAGTTTGGATGCAAAGGAATAGCTGACCAGAGCTTGAGTGCTTATTGGCACTCCCAATGATCACCGGAGTTTCAGGCTCAACCTGGGGGTCGACCCAGGGAAGCATTTCCGAGTCAAGAATCCCGAACGGGGTGTCGAATGCTACACTGTCACTCGAAAGTCGATCGACCACTTCTCCACTTCTTAGACCATCGACTTCTTCTCAAGATTTGGCACATCAGAACTCCAATCTTCATGTGGGTGTGTATTAAGATAGGGAGACCTCGGCTTAAAGCCCACACACCCATGTTGGACCATCCCATCTTCAGCTCGAGGATGTGGTCATGGAAGATGAGGAAGATGAGCTGCTCCACGCACCTTGGTCACCCGATTCGGGATCCGAAGGGTGTTTTTGAGCGACCTCAGATGGAGAAAGACCACCTGGAAGAAGTGGAAGAGTCCAATTCAGCCAGCGGTTGGATGTCTCCCTATTAAAATATACACCCAATATATAGATTGTATAGTAGAAAGTAGGAGGTGGGGAAAAGGAACTAAATAGAATTCCCTCAGTAATGGCGAACAAACAGGGATAAGCTCAGGTTGGAAACCAGGGCCCTGGTTCTAGGTTCTAGCCTGCAGACGTAGCGCTATCGGCGGCTTGGAAAGCAAGCAACTGGTCTATAGTGGTGATCTTGGGTGTGCTGACGAGTCTGAGGATACATGATGTTTTCCATTTAGGACTTATATTAGTTGTGGCTCTTCATTTTAGGCATCTAGTCCCGCCAACAGCAGTTTTGCTTGCTACGATCCTTGCAGTACCTGACAAGGAGTGTATGAAACCACCAGGTTCAGACGATGTCAGAGAGTTTGCAGGTACTGTATATGGAATTGGTGTGTGGTGGCCGCATTCACCATGTTCTACAGCACGCTTCAGTTTTAGCAGCGTATTGGGGACAGCTTCTCTCCTTCTCCGCCTCAGGAGTGTGACGTTTACCTCAACCGGATGTACGATCCGCCGGACTTTGTCGGCGACATGCCACTGGGGACGCGCTTTCCTCCGTCGCGATTCCGTCGAGATCGACGACCGGTCGCGGTCGTGAGGTGGACAAAGGTGTACTTGTTGTTTGCACCGGCTCCACGTATAGCAGAACTATGCATGTGAGGTGGGTGATGGTGGGTGACTGGGTGGTCGAACAAGCATCGTTATATAAGGGAAAATGATGAAACATATCACTGTCGATACCGTGCTGTATACCCTGTATGACAGAAAGCTTAAATCTGAATGAATCAACCAGCCCCGGACACTCGTACGGAATATATGTCTACACTGGGGCGGTTGACCTGGCTTCAATGTAGTCATGGAGTGTTTGGGAGAGGGAACGAAGCTGGACGGAAGCTGTCATTCGGCAAGCTCTTCACATGGTCGGAAGAAGCTTTGGACGAGTCCGAGCCTGGAGTCTTTGGAGTGTGGCTTTGAGCTCGTTCTTTGAAACAGACGATGTTCAATTGAGGAGGAATGTGATAGCATGTGTATGTTGTTTGTTTTTGCAAGGTGTGTAGCTTTCCCTTGACCACCGTCTTTCTGTAGGGCTGTAAACGTGCTTTCTTTCATCAACAACAGCACACCTCCTGTTGGAATAAAACTGTGCATCAACACAAGGGTTCCTTGGCCGACTCCACATGCACACTCAGATCCGGTAGCCTCTCACCTGAAGATTCGGACGACATCACAGCATCTACACCATATACAACAGAAAACCATCCAATGTAGCCCATTGACCAACCCAATGTATTGGTTTCAAGGCATCCATGGATTGACCAATACAGTCAGCATCCATGGAGTGCAAAGGCTGATGGTCAACCGGACTGGAGGCCGGTCGGACCACCGGACCGCGGCGTCGCCGGATGGAGGGTCCGCCGCCAGAAGGCGCACCTTGGGGGGTGCGCTTCTTTTCGGAGGTGGAGCATGTTGGAGCTGCAGAATAAGAAGGCATCACAACGACGATATGTTCATATGTTTTCCAAGATACTTTTCGCACAGCATTGGAGCATTGGGCGATTTCCATCACCAAGCAGTGCACGCAGTATATTATTTGGAGGGTCATTGACAGTGCTGCCTTTGCCCCACACGCCCAGCTAAGGTATCTTCTGCAGTACCCGCTGCGGCCCAGCCCATTGGCTGCACGAGTTGGGGTGTGAAACTCCTTCTTCACCACTGCGAAGATGCATGGAACATCATGAAACACTGCAGAAAATAGACCCGCAACAGATCGGAAAACAAAAACGAAAACGGTAGATGTGTTGGGAGTGGTTGGGAGCTGCAGGTCTAGCCCGCCAGCAGTCCAAGGGTCACATGATGCCCACCGAGGCTATCGTCCCTATGGAGACCAGGGCTCCTTGGAGCGTGTGGAACTGAAACCAAAGAGTCGACGTTTGCGCTTCATGCGGCCTGTCATCAAAGGGGCTTAAGGGGGGAAGGGCAGGGAATGACGTATCCGGGATGGGCGGGACTGTTTGGTGTTTTTCCCGAAAGCACCTGCGAAGGGTTTTTCCTTAAGCACTGCTGCCTATTTCATCTTCCTTAATCTCTTTCTCTTACTTCATCTTCCCCACTCTCTCTTCCTTACTCTCTTCCTCTTACTTCATCTTCCCCACTCTCTCTTCCTGACTCTCTTTATCCTACTTCACCTTCCTTACTTCATATTCTTTACTAACTTTCTCCTACTTCACCCTCACAACATCATCATCTAATCATCACCTCATAGGTTATTAATCTCATATCATATCATATTATATCATATCAGGTTATAATATCATATCACATCACATCAATGTCATAACATATCATATCATATCATGTTTTAATATCATATCACATCACATCAATGTCAGATCATATCATCTCATATCATGTGATAAAATAATATCACATCACAACATAACATATGAAGTAGAAGTATCAGATCAACAATATCAAACAAAGTACATCAGAAGTAGATATTGATAGGTAGGTATTGATAAGTGGGTATAGACAGGTAGGTGTAGGTAGGTAGGTGTAGATAGGTAGGTGAAGATAGGTAGGTGAAGATAGGTAGGTGTAGACATCTTCCTTAAGACACCTACCCAACTTCACCTACCCAACTTCTTCTTTATTCTTCTCTTTAGGCGGCGGGGCGGTGCGAGCAGGTCTTACGAAACGCAACCCTCTCGTGGAATCGTGGCCATCGATCGCGCGCGCGTGTGGTGAGACGCGAATCGCGTTTGTCCGTGAGCAACCCTCTGCGGAGATCGTGCGTGTCGATCGCGCGAACGTGTGGTGAAACGTACATTTTTGGTGTGCGCGGTGCGTTCCGCCATTATAATTCTGGTGACAAGGTTTTGTCGACTTTGCGTTTCCCCATTGTAATTCTGGTTTCAAGGTTTGCCCTCGAGGAACCCTCTGCGGAGATCGTGCGTGTCGAGTGCACGAACGTGTGGTGAAACGTACATTTTGTCTGAGCGCGGCTGGGCGCACCATTATAATTCTGGTCACAAGGATGTCGCCAATGTGCGGTCCGGACCGCATACTCATTGGGAAATGCGATTCCAAGGTCTGTGCCCGGTCTGTGCCCGGATCGTTCCCCCATTATAGTTCTGGTCGCAATGATGTCGTGAATGTCACCTCTGAACTTTCTACAATGCGCGCTCTGGACGTCATACTCGTTGGGAACCGCGATTTCATGGTTTGTGCTCGGATCGTTTCCCCATTGTAATTCTGGTCACAACGATGTCTCCAATGTGTGCTGTGGACTTCATACTCGTTGGGAAATGCGATTTCATGGTCTGTGCCC